GGACAGGGGATGTGCCCCCCTCTGAAGCTGGAAACCTTGTTTTTGCAAAATAAATTGATGCAATTTGCTATTATAGGCCTAATCAATAAATTCCTCATCAACCGATATAACCTTAAACATTCTTACTGATGCCGTACACCTGTCTCTTATACACATCTAGATGTGTATAAGAGACCTCTGAAACCATCCCCCAGTCTCGGGCCTACGAGCTGCTCAAGTTCCCCCTATCGGACAGCTCTGCCACTTTATCTTTCCTGGTCCCCCATGATTCGTCATTACGCCACTGTATTATATAAAAATCAGACGTATTGGCTATAAATCAAACATAATTTGTATCAAATAAATCTCTATTGATAAGATACCGTATTGCCTCTAATAGACGCCCTGGGGGCGTTGCATTTTTTCAAAGGGGGGCGTTTACTAGAGGTGAATTGTAAAATCAAAAATTACCTAAACAAGCTGGTTCAAACGGTCAATGTTCTTTATTTGTATAGGAACAAGTTAATGTGCATAATATCTCCAGGCCTCCTGCTATTTTGCTTCATTTGTTGCTGGTTATTTGAACATCAATAATTCCTTGTGTTTCAAAAAGAAATGAAATATCTTCAAGTTCTCTTAGGGTAAATGTCCGACGATGCAGCGCGGTGCTTCTCCTTTCACAACAGCAATCGCGTGCTTGTCAAAAACATTGTCGGCCTCATGAACTAGGTCTAGCACCGCACCACCGCAGGCAAAACTTCTGCCCTCAACTTGAAGGAAACATTCTAACTACGGTATAGACTTCATTGACCTTGAATCAAATCAGCGTCGAACACGCGACACATTAACAATACACGATTACCCGTCGTTTGCCGTTAGTTTGCAGCTTACCCTGCTTTTACAAGGCCAACGAAATACCATGAGAGAAACACAAAATAGGCCTAGGCCTAGTAATCGTGAAGACAGAAAACATCAAACGTTTAGGGTAGGCTTTTTTGAGTAGTATTTATTTCATTTCATATCAAAGAAAGCAGCACACAGTACGGTATTACTCCTTGTTTGTCAACCTTTTTATGGACTGGATACCCATGTTAATTGATTGGGCACTCATTGCAAAATGGAAAAAAACGTTTATTAGAAGAGGGGCGTTTATTAGAGACAATACGGGTCCATCTGTCACATTTCACACTTTTGTCCTCTGTCACGATCTTCCATTTGCTGCATTATAATCCTTTGTCAGGGTAGGACGGGCCTAGGTTAAACCCTTATAAAAAGTCTAGTAGGGCAAAGCTCAATAATCTGTACAGTAAAAATAATTTGTATAAATACATACAATTTTCTTTTTCTTCCTGATAAATTATTTTGACTCTAGAGAATTTTGAAAAGGGAGCAGGGCAACCACTCTGACAGGGTCCTGGCACAGGCCCCCTCCCCCTCCCCACTGGGCTGTCCTGAGCCTCCATTGCATATGGCAATGTGTTTGTTTAGTTTTTAAAGGGATAAGAATTGTGCAATATGTTTTGGTGAGATAAGGTCCTGTCTGTCACACTGTATTAACAGTATCCCACAAAAATATGAAGAGGGGACATGATGAATAATTTTCGTTTTTGGACTAAGTATAATTATATACCAATAATCACAGTTTGACAGGATAAGATCCAGCTGTTACTGAGATAGATATATGCATTTGAAAAAGTTAGTTAAAAATGGTGTCTTTTTTTGTCTGGTCTTTCACCAACATCGTTTTAAATTAATTAAAATACTAGCCAATCTGAGATGTCCTTAACACTTGGGTATTTTAAGTTGCTAGCTGGGAGATAATCAGGAGTATACATACAATTGGTTCTAGTCTCTTCAAAAATCCAGGAGACTTGTTTTAATGTTAAAAAAAAGTTATCAAATGTCCTGTATGTCACAGTGGAATTGACCAAATACAAGTATTTTTATAACAAAAGATTTTGACAACAAGGATTTTTTTTTTTTGGTGACACTACGACTTTGTATCGGCACTCATAGTCAGAGCGGTGTGTACACAAGAGAATAAATGGTAAAAAGGAATATCTGAAGAGTGCAAGACAAAAATACAAGTGAATATCAATGCTATGACAAGAGGAGAAAACAGGAGGAAGAGAAAGAAAGGAAAGTGATTAAGAATATGAAAAGGAAAAAGTGGAGTTTAGTAAATACAGATCTGACTTTGATCAGTACAATTTTATGAGTTTTGAACTTGCAACAGTTCAAGCATGTTCAAGGTCTCATGTCTCATTTCATAAAATCATGGTTCATTACACACACAAATACAGTATACCAATCTATGCTAGGTCACATGACTAAACCTGGAAAAACCCACTTCTATTCTCAGATTTTACATGTACAGCACCTCTGTATATAAAGCCAGTATTTTAAGGTAAATATCTCATTAATCTATGTTGTATGCTCAGTATAATGGATCCTATAAACAATTTAATGATTAGGAAACATAAGGAAACATTAAAAAAAATAAGACTGTATTTCTTGCAATTGCCTTTTCAATTGCCTTTTTAATTGCTCCCCTTTTCACATTGCTATATAAAATTCCAAAGAGGGCATAGAGGCAGACTATGTGCTGTACAAGCAAAATTATTAATAAAAGAATAATAATTTGTGTATTTGTGGATATGATTTTGTCAGATTCTGAGATTGAAAATCTATTATAAATTTCTTTGCTGTGTGGTGCCTATATTTAACATTCATAGGTTTATTCATACAGGCTGAAAAATTAATAATTGCACATGACATTATTTTATCAGCCACAAAAAAGATTTAGGAATGTATTTATATTGGTGGTCTCCTCCCTACCTCTTAGAAATACAACTATTTTAAAAATGTTTATTGTTAAAAATACTCATTAGAATTCCTCTAGTATTTGACACTAAGAATAGAAATAATTGAGTGTATGACAGTTCATAGAAAAAAAAACATTAAAAACTTGTGGCTGACAGGAGATATATGTGACCAGCTCTGGCAAAACCAGCAGTTTGTATGAAAAAATTCAAAAATTGAATTTTTTTAGTGTTTTTATAGATTCTGCATGAATTCCTAGTGTTTATTTGTTGGAAATTGGTTGAATATATATAAAGTTCAGAAGGTGTGTGGGGGGGAATTTGGACCGATCGAGATAACACTACCCTAGTGTGCCCCCGTGAAATATTTGTGTTCTAGACACCCGAAAAAACATCTGAGACATTTTGGGCGGACCTTTTTATTTCTTCCTTTCTTTTTTCTTTCTTTCTTTTTTACCGTCCAAAAAAGGCCAACTCCTGAAGTTGTGAGTATTTAATTCATTGAATCAGCCATGTAGGTTTTGAAAATACAACTTCCAATGATTCCAAAATCAATAGTTTATTACAAGATTCGTATTTTTAAAATAATTTCAATATACATTTTAGTTAGATTAAGTGATTGTTATTTTGTGTATCTTTTATAAAATGCAAAAACAAAACTTGAAAATGTTCAAATTCTGATTCTCAAACATTTTGAGTGCTTGTGCAAAATTATAATCTTGAATCTCGTATCTTGTATAAACTGCGACAAACGGATCCAGGTTTTTCCAGAGTCAAATATATTGAAACAAGTCCATTCAAAATGCAGCAAAAATGGCCCCCAGAAAAAATCAACTGGGAAAAACAGGCAGCAATAAAAAAAAAACAAGTAAAAATTGTCTGTAACCCCCATCCCTCCCATGTTATAATGGTCTTATTCACAGATAGGTAAAAGTTGTCTTTACTGCTGGGGTTTTTCTATTAATGTAACATTATTTTTATCAAATAATTTGTAATATTGTTAAAATTACTGTAAGCTTTTGTTAAGTTTTACAGTTACAATATGCAAACTAGATGAAACTATTTCAATTTTCAAACACTCACTATGGTCCGCCACTGTCACCACCGGAGCTACCACAACCAGTATACTAGCCCATCATAATCAAATAAAATCATTATTTTGTATCAATCAATCCATCAATCAACATGACATTATTTATCTTAATTACACTGTACAGTACTATAACACACAATAATTATTTATAATTCACAGAATATTATTTCAAGATGGCCACCAGTGAGCTGAATCAGTTTCTAGAAAATGTTGATAAGAAGGTCCAAGAGTGTACCATATGCTTCAAGAGACTTCAAAATCCTAAATCTCTCAACTGCCTCCATAGTTTCTGTTTGGCATGTCTGGAAGACTGGGTTAAAACTAAAGGAGAGCTGATTTGCCCTACTTGTTCGAAATCATATCTCATTCCAGAGGGTGGGCTTCAGAAACTTCCACCAAATACCTTTCTTAATAACTTAATAGAAACTATTGAACAATTTTCTGAAAAAGATCAGATAAAATGTGCTTGTAAAAAAGGAGAAGAAGCATTATATTACTGCCAGGATTGCAGACAGTACTTGTGCTCTACTTGTATTGACCATCATAAAGAGTTCCAACTCTTTGCCAACCACATGCTACATTCAGTGGAAGAAGTGAGATCAATGACCCCTTCACAGATGACTTTACTACATCCACCACAGTGTTTGCTTCACAGCAAACCTTTGGAATTTTACTGCACAGAGTGTAAAACTCCAATATGCATGCATTGTACAATTACTGACCACAAGGAGTTGGAAGGAAATCATAAAATAATCAGCATTTCTAAAGCTTTTCAATCATTTAAAGAAACTTCAGCAGAATTGGAGAAAGTTGCCAATGAATGCAAAAGCAAATTACAAGATGGCCTCAAAGCAGTTACTCAGAATGCTAAACAATTAAATCAAAATAAAGATACAACTTTGAGAGACGTTGACAATCATGTACAACTGATGATAAGAAAAATCAAGGAGAATGGAGCCAAAATTAAAAATGAAGTACAGACAATATACAGAAAGAAAAAGAAGGTACAAGATGTCCAAATGGATGAACTGAAAACAACAATATCTGATATAAATACAAAACTCAGTTTTCTTAATCAGCTTTTGCAGAGTGATAAAGCAACAGCAATGCAGTCAAGTGAAAGAGTAATTACAGCACTGAAGGACAGAATCAATGAATTACCAAAAACAAAGCCAGCTGATAATGGACAAATTAAATTTGTTATCAATGAGAATCAGCTCGATTCATTGCAACAATGTGATATTGGGCATGTATCACAGGGAGCAGCAGATTGCCTAACACTGAAGGGAGTGGAATATGCATTACAAGGTCAGACAATTGTTGTCAAAATAATAAAAACAGATGAATGTGAAATAAATGCAAATCAACTGAAGGCAACTTGGACACAGCCTACAGGAGAAACCAACATCACTCAAGTTCAGGAAGATGACAATGGAGATTATTTTGTGACAGGAAAATGCACCAGTACAGGTGCTTGTAAATTAGATGTGAGTGCCAACAGCGAACCAATCAAGCAGTCACCAGTGATAGTGAAAGTAGAGAAGGAAGAATTAATAAATACTATTGATACAAATAAACAAAATGTTAGAGATGTAGTTAAGTGTGAAGATGACTGCTTACTGGTTTCATGTTCTACAAATGAAATATTCAAGTACAAGCAATCGGGAGAATATATTGGTAAGGTTATGCTACCGCAGGATGTAAAGGTTTTCAAAATGTTCAAGATGAAGAGTGGTAACATAGCATTCAGTGACAATCTGAAATGCATCAAAGTATGCAATATGAATGGTCAGGTGGTCAAATCAATTGGTCAGGGAGTATTGAAGGATCCAGCTGGTATATACGTAGATGAAACATCAAATATTGTGTACGTAGCAGACTGGGGTAATTGTTGTGTTTTTATGTTTGACAATTGTAGTAGTCAGTTAATAAGGAGGATATGGTCACTAGGCCACGAAGACAGCATAATGAATGGAGTTTTTGATGTTACTCTTACTAGTGAAGGACACCTTCTAGTATTGGAATGTACAAACAGCAGATTACAATTATTTGATAATGAGGGAAGGTTCATGAAAATCCTCGTTCAAGCAGGTGATGAGAATGGTAAGGTGAGGAATCCATATGGAGTAGTAGTTGATGAGGATGACAACATCATTATAGCAAGTAAAAACAAACTACAGCTTTTTAGTAGTGAAGGAAATTTCATTATAAGGATTGATAAACCAGAAGATGGAATCAACAATCCATTGGGATTATCCATCATTTCATATCATCCAAGGAGACTTGCAGTAGCAAATAATGGTGACGAAACAGTAAAAATATTCAATTACTAATTATTGAAAGTTCACTTTTAAATGTATAGATATACAGTGTATAAATACCATTACACATAAAGTTAAAAACCATTCAATTTTGATAGTGATTGTTTATGTTGCATTTTCCTCTATCTCAATCACACATCATATTAAATGAGTAACATCATTAAGTCAAACTCACCACATCCTCAATGATATTTATGATTTATCAGAGTTATACACATGCAAGCTGCCTTTTTAATTTCATATATTTATAACAATTCAATAACAACCAATTGCATTATTTGAATATGTTTAATTAACTAAAGAAACTTACAGGAATAAATTCTGTCAAATCTCACATTTTTTAATTTATGTCTCCACAGTTTAAATGTATTAATAGTGTGGTTATACAAAATATATATTTATCTCAGAAAATATTATTTTGAATTATGTTTACTCAATTTTATTGTGTAGCCTACTGTAATAGTCATGAAAAATGAATGTAAAAAAACGTTAATGCTGATGGTAACAATACCGTAAAAATCATATTTTGAAATAACATTTGAGATCACCTTGTAACAGTAGTAGTAAGTCATTATATTGGACATAATGACTAGATTTATTACAATTAAGAATTACTTAAATTATGTTGATAACATTTTTACATATCAACTACAAGAGGGTATTTTACACTGATTCTAAATTCAACTTGATGATGATCATTGTTCTCTAATCATTCTTTTAATGTGGTTAAGATAAAAAAGGATTTTGATTTTTATATAACTTTCAAGAAAGTTTAACAATTTTTTCAAGTAAGATTGAAACACCACTCCAAAATCACCAAAAATAAATAATTAAATTGTATAGTTTTTAAAATACTTCTTTGATTATAAATATAGTGAATCACACATTATAATATCTTACACTTTATAGATTTTGGAAAAAATATGGATTAAGTAATATGAAATATGATGTAGCAATACATTAGTTTTCTATAATAATTAAAAATATAATTAATTCATTAATAATAAAGAAGAATGAAACAGGCTGTGTAATACATCTGTTGAATGAAATGTTTTTGTAAAAGATGACTTTGTATATTTTCATTTCTTTTACATCCAATCAAAAATATAACTCTCATTATAGCTAGGAAATGTGAGGTTGTATAATAAATATGAAGTAGAGAGAAATGAAATAATTTGTACAGCAAGTGAATGTCTGAAAAAAGAGCAATGTTACAATTACTTAGAGTCAAAGAAAGTAATTTGATGTAAATTTACTTACAAGATGAGACAAAAATGGCCATATGTGACACTACATCATGTCTCTGCTCCCCATCATGTCTCCACAATGTTCCTTGTTATTTGTATCTCTAGCTTCTCTCCATGGCACTACACATGGTCAGGCTCCCCCATCATGTCTCCACAATGTTGCTTGTTACTTGTATCTCAGCCATTCTCTCCTGAAAAAATCTGAGTGTCACTGACTGACCCTTAAGTTGGTAGACATAAAACAATGTAAGAATAGCAAACTTGTATGGGATCTATTAATTTCTACAATTTTACCTTAAATTTTATATTATATATTATAAACAAAATCAGGTAAAAAGAAATAATATAATTCTGTACCCCAATGAGCGACCCTTGTTATACTTTTGTTTCCAAGTCAGTAGGATATGAAAGTTCATCAAAATCAGGGTAGGCACTCATTTTCTTATTGCTGAGGGGGAAGCAAACGTTAAGTAGGGGGCTTGATAATTACGACAGGGGGTGTATAAATAGTACTCTATAAGGTGATATTTTGACTTCTTAACCAAAATGCTTTTGCTCAGCAAATTCTTAATTGAGGTATCTGTAGGAGGGGAGTGCAAGTTATTTTTTAGAGGGGACGCATGCCCCAAGCCATCAGTAGATACAGCACTGCCACCATGACCAATCATGACTGTGCCTCCCTCAGTCTTCTTATAGCTATTATAGCCCTCTACAGCTTGCCTCCCAATGCTTCCATATTTTTATTTTTAGAATTACTTACCATAACAGATGCATTCAGATTTCCATGTTGAAACCTGAAACCCAAATGACTGCTTTGTACGATTCAAAATAATTTCTGCTGCTTTTCTTTCTGAAGAATGGCTACATTCTCATCACTATGACAACCAATACCACTGTGTTGTTAGTCTCACATTCAACAACCTACAATGAAGCAACAGAATATTAAGCCCTATAACTAGAAATTGCAAATTGCAAGTGAAGAGCTGCGAAGTACAACTGCATATAAATGTTCTTTGAACAAAATTATTTATGCGAGTCAAGTGAAAATAATGAAATAATGAATAATAAAAATATAACAAATAATATGAAACACGACCCATTGTCTATATTAGAACACTGACGAGCTGACGTAGAAACATAGTAAAAACGAGCGTTGGTATCGTGTATGCCAGTCTACAACAAGCGTCGCATAAATGTAATAATTAGCACGCTGAAATAGGCTAGTAAATAAGTTTAACTGGGTTCGTAAATAATATTGGCCTCAAAATATTGTGGCTGAGACATGGGCCGATTAAACGTAGAAATAGGAAACCTAAAATATAGTAAAAACGCTGAATAGTTATACTCAAGCGTCGCCACATGCGGACGTTGGTACATGTAGGTTAGTCTACAAACGTCGCCTAAAGTAATTGATTTTACCCAGCAGAACGAAAGAAGGAAACTCCGCTTTTCAGTCGTCTTAGGCCCTTGTTTTTTGACAAACAATGACCTTTCAGAGGTCAAATTGCTGTCAAGAATATAAATTGGCTGCTTCGCAGCAAAAAATATAATTAGTTTATCACCCTATCTGGGCAGCAAAAGTGATGAGGGAGGAAGGCTTTTTTTAAATTTTTTATTCTGCTAAAGCCAAATATCACCCTTAGGTTGTTTGCTGGTGCATTGATATTCAAAGTAAAACACGAGTTAGATAATGCAAACAATATCTACTAACTATTTAATAAAATAAATAAAATAACAAAAATTAAAAAATTTCAATTTAAAAAAAAAAAAAAAAAAAAAAAATTTTCCAGTACCATAGAAGACACGCACGTGGGGTAATAAACTAATAATTTTTTTTTATTGGGCCTTATTCAATCATTAACATGTTACCAAATAAACTTAATAAAAATATAAAACAGCATAGTTTTCGTAGACTTAAATTAATTATGCAAAGTGTGGATGAGGCTGCTGACTGGACAGTGTGCTGGACTTTCAATAAAAAATTAAAGTATAAAATTGGATAAACAAAGAAAAGATGTAGTACAAAACAAATGAGGTAACAATGCATAAAAAAAATAGGACAACAGGAAATGAGAAGTAATGGATGACAGAAAATGGGTAAAGAAAACAAAGAAAGAAAAAGGGAGGAGATATAGAGTGAATTAAAGCAATGGAATGAAAATCAGAGAGAGATAAGAAGAGGTAGGTTAAGAGAGAAGGTGAAGTGAGGAATGAAATTAATACGAAAGTCAAGAAGAGATGAACTGTAAAAAAATGAAGATAAAAAAGGAGAATTCTAAAAGAGGAAGAGAAAGGAAAGAAGTGAATAAGAATATAAAAGAAAAAAAAAAGGAGCTTAGTAAATCTGACTTTGATTAATACGATTAAATTAGTTTTGAACTTGAAGAGTTCGAGGTCTCGATGTCTCATTTCAAAAAGTCACAGTTCATTGCACACACAAACATACCAATCTATCACATGACTAAAAATAAACCTGGAAAAACCCACTTCTATTGTCAGACTTCATATCTACTGTACCTCTGGTTATAAAGCAAGTATTTTAAGGTAAATATCTCGTTCATTTATGTTGTATGTTCAATACAATGGCTCCTATAAACAATTTAATGATTAAGGAGAAAAAACATGACTTTATTTCTCACAATTGCCTTTTTAATTGCTCCCCTTTTGAAATTTATATATAATTTTCCAGAGTGGGCATACTGTAGAAGCAATCCATGCACTTTACAAGCAAAATTATTAATAATAATAATATACGTATCTGTGGATATGATTTTGTCAGATTGAAAATCTATTATAAAATTCATTGTGGTGTGGCTTTTATTTTAATTTGCATTTTTTAACATTCATAGGTTTATTCCTGCAGGCTGTAAAATCAATAATTGTACATGACTTTATTTTATCAGCCACAAGATTTAAAATGTATTTTATAATTTGGTGGTCCCCTCCCTATATCTTATATACAAGTATTTTTAAAATGTTTATTGTTGAAAATACTCCAGAATTCCTATAGTATTTAACAATAAGAATAGAAACAAGAGTGCATAACAGTTCATAGAAAAAAAAACATTAAAAACTTGTGGCTGACAGGTATGAGGCGCCATCTGTTAACTTATTATTTAGCAAAAATAACATGGCTTTTTACGTTATATATTTATATATTATTTTATATAATATATAATATTTTATATAATATATAATATTTTATATAATATA